GAGAGTGGGTGTGGGGGGCCAGCAGAGCGTGCGCAAAGGGGAGGCCGCGGGCCGGGACTCCATCTTTGATGTTGGCCGGGAGGACCGTCTCCAGGGGATCACGGAAGTAACCGCGGTAGGCGCCATGTTATGTGGGGGCAAAGGACCGAGTACCTTCGGGATGGGGCTTCTGAAAGGGTCCTTAAAACTTCGTTTGAAATACAGACGATTTTAAATACTGAAGCGACGGTCCACGTTACCTGTAACGAGGCAAATGCCCATGGAAACCACTTTCGAGCATCATTTTCACACGTGGGATTACAAAAATTGGAAAGTTCGATAGCACCGGAGAGTTCTCGGCAAGCAAGAGTGGCTATATTGCTATTCGGAGTGTAATTTGGGACCACGTCTCCGAGGGCATTTTTGCAGTATATTTCCATTTTAAACGCACTTTTACTTTGACTCCGCAATTCCATTTCTTCGAATCTAGCGGCATTATTGTGTGTGCTCAAGAAACATGCCCAAGGGTATTCACTGCGACTAGAAAATGCCACATTGGCAAAAACTTAAATGTCCACCAACAATATAATAAAGAGTAAGGCGCGTCCATATACTGTAATATTACTGAGTTCAGAGGAACGAAGCAGATACCTGCACTGATGATCTCCAAAACGAAGTTTTAAAAACGTGAACCAGGCTGGCCAGTTTGTTCAGTTGGTGGTGCTGATAACACCAAGGTCCAGGTTTCGATCCCTGTACTGGCCAGCCGCGAAGTTAAGTAGTCGTTTGTGTAATACAAACTATATATATATAAACATACTTATACATATGTATGTTTATAAAAATATTTCTGGGAGGATAAACAAAAAAATAGCAGTGGCTGCCTCTGGGACGAAGGACGTTGGGGTGAATGGAGACTGACCTTTCACTATATACTTAGTCTGAGTTCTACCAGAGAAACAAAACCAGTAGGGCATATGTGTCTGTGTATTATATATTATATATCACATATGTATATATGAGGAGATTAGTTGCAGGATATTGGAGCTGGCCAGGCAAGCACATAGGGCAGGCCGTCAGGAAGAGCAGGCAGGAACCCTCCAGCACAAGCTGAAGCTGCTTTCCATAGCAAGAACTTCTTTTTCAGGGAAGCCTCCCTCAGTACTGCTCTTCAGGCCTTTCAACTGATCGCATCAGACCACTTAGAGTAAGCTGATTATAGACTTTAATCACATCTTCAAAATACTTCCACAGCAGCACCTAGATTAGTGTTTGAATAATTGGGTACTATAATCTAGCTAAATTGACACATAAAACTATCACACTCCACCCTGTGCCATCTTGGCACCCATGTATGTTTCCTTTAACTATATTTAATCTCCAAATAAAAACAATAACAAAGTCATATTTCTGCCTAACATGATACAGTGATTCTGTGTACAACCAAACACACCCTAATCCTTTCCCCAGAAGAGGACAAAAAGACCTTGAGTGATTCTTGTGTTTCTCCTATGAATAGCCTTTAATACCGTGATATAAAATTAACTGCTACTAATACATCTTATGTTAGATGGCAATTCTTTTTCCTGCTGAGGTTAAGCCAATTAATGAAAAATAACCTTAAACCCCATTTAACTCATCTTCCCTGAATATTCCTTCAGATTTCTGGCAAGGAAGAACTTATTTGCAAATGAAATACCATAAGTCAGTGTATACAAAGTTTTGTTTTTGTTTTTAAACTGCCACTTAGCTGCAGAGGCAATTTTTTGGACATTTAGGTTGTTACACTTATGGAAGGCTATACCTTGGAGATAGGAAAAGTCACCTACCATTGAATATGCTGTTGGCAATAGCACCACAAGGAGTGATGGAGATCTTATTGTGGCACGTTTTGAATGTAGCACAGTCTTCAACAGCCTGAATGCAAGATGACACAGCAATGAGAAATGCTTTTGATAAACTCTCTCAGAATGTTGAAAGTGAGAATACTGGCAATTTAAGTCAACCCACACTGATATACTGACATGGACCAAGATTATGGCCTGCTACCTGTTTTTCTCAGCCTTCTGGCTCACTTAGACTAGGAAATTTTTGTGTTTTGGAGATATGTACATATATGTGCATGTATCTGTGTATGTTTTTTCTTCATTAATAATACATAGCATGCCAAAAATATCTGCAAGAAGGAACTTTACCTTGCTGGCTATGCTATATATCACTCTAGCCTACACTGGAATACATTTTTAAAACCTCTTTTTATTGAAATATATTCAGAAAAATACACAAATCATGAGTCATTATCTCAATGAGTTATCACAGGGAATCCATCCACACAACTACCAGAATACATTTTGGAAAGAGTGGTTGCTAAAAAATCATTTGGTTATTACTTTCATGTAATAATGTCAGTATGGAAAAGGTTTCCTTCTAGATTTTCTTGCTAGAATGCTGAATATTATCTACCAAGAGTAAACATTTGTAATTCTAGGTCTGAAAAGTTATTCAATTAAACCACAGACTTTTATTCAATCAAATAGAGCTCAATTTCCTTAAAGTAGGCTGGATTGAAGATATCAATTATGGGAAGATAATAAGCCCAATAGCAGATATAGAGTGAGCCAGACTGACACCAATCACTCAAGGTTACTATCAAAATGGTGCATCAAAGGATAACCAATTTAGTTGGACAAGATTCATATTATTTCTCTGAAGAGGGAGATTGCTCCTTCTCAATAACAGTTTCCCTCAATACCCAGCCCATCGATTTATGCAAGAATGAAATGATTCCTTTTCTGTAAAATTTTTGAGGTTTTGTAAGATGTTTTAGCTTTTGAGTTTATTTCCCGTTCTCTCTTTTAGACTGAAATATCCACCTGGTTTAAAAAAAGAAAAAGTATTATACCAAATTAAATACTTACTGTTACATCTTTACCCACAGGTTGGGTATTACTTCTGGATAGACTATCTTGACAGAGGTTCTGATAGGAGCCATACAACCTGCAATATATAAAAACATTACCCTGTATAGGAGAAGAGCAAGAAGTAAGAGGACAGTAAGAAAAATTAACTGGAATATTTATAAACATGAAAAAGATACACCTTATGTTAGATAATAAGTGAATAAGAGAGGGAAGAAAATAAAAATATTTGCTTAACATATATACAAATATATTCATAACAAAATAAAGAAGAAATACTCATAAACTACTATAGTCCTTGTTTCTGCAACTGGTCATGTGGTAGTAGCTGGCATTTTTATCTTCTTCTACTACCATTCTGTATTCCCCCAGCAAGTACCTCAGCCAGTTGTGGTCCTTTGCCTGTTGGGGTGACCAAAACCTGCATGCCTGAAGGGTCTTGGCCATTAGTAACCCTGCCTGAATTGGTGGTTGTAGTTTTTCACTGGCTTTAAGCACAGGACATAGTAGTTCTTTTTTTTTTTTTTTTTTTTTTCTTTTTGTCTTTTTCCGTGTCCGGCAACGGATTGCAACCCTCAGTGTTGCCCCCGTACCGGACCGGGGACCGGCAACGGGATCACAACCCTCGGCGTTGCTCCCGCGCCTCGCTCAGCCAGTGAGCGGGAACCGGTCTGTATGTGGGATCCGAACCCTCGGACGGGAGCACCGCTGCGCTTTCCAAGCGGCGCACTATCCAGTGCGCCACCGGGCCGGCCCGGACATAGTAGTTCTAAGACAAATGTTAAGGGCTCTCCTGTACTCCAGATATACTCTTTCTTATCCCTGTTGTATTGTTCTGCCCACTGGGAGGCTTTCCCTTCATTACTATCCCTCAGGATGTCTCAGAAAGAAGCTGCAGCTGTCCACGTTCAGGTGGTGGTTCCCCCATATCATGCAGAACTATCTGTAAACCAGTATCTCTTCCTCTGTCACTGATCATAAGGAACTCCCCATGAGGGGCCAGGTGCAGGCTGGTAGAGAGAAGGCAGTGTAGTAGGACTGGGAGCCAGGGGCATTTTGGCTTCTTGTAACTTAATTGTGCCTTCATAGGCAATCATTTAAATACCACTTCCACTTAATGATGGAGTGCTGCTGTGCACACCCAACTGGATGGCTTGGTGGTTGGGTAACATCCAGTTCATAATGGGCAGCTCAGGTCATGTGGTAACGTGGTGGTCTATGATTAAGCACTCAGTCCCTAACAAGGCCCAATAGCAAGCTAGAAGCTGGTTCTCAAATGGAGAGTAGTTGGGCCGGCCCTGCGATGCGGCGCTGGGAGCGCAGCGACGCTCCCGCCACGGGTTCGGATCCTATATAGGACTGGCCGGTGCACTCACTGGCTGAGTTCGGTGTGGGCGACACCAAGCCAAGGGTTGTGATCCCCTTACCGGTCACGAAAAAGACAAAAAAAAAAAAGGAGAGTAGTTATCTGAAGAAAATGTCAGGGTTTTACTCAAGAATTGTAAGAGCCTGTGCTGTGATTTACCCATAGGGGCCTGCCAAAGGCTCCAAACAGCATCCCTCTCTGTCACAGAAACCTCAAGTGCATTGGATCTGCTGGATCATGAGACCCAAGGGCTGAAGTTGTGGCTTGCACGGCAGCCTGAGCCTGTTGCAGAGCCTGCTCCTGTTCTGGGCCCCATTCAAACACACAGCTTTTTGGGTCACTCAGTAAACGGGCTGAAGTAGCAAACCCAAATGAGGAATATGTTACTTCCCAAATCCTTCATTCAAGGGGTTCTGGCTCTGAAAACTGGCTCAAGTCTGGGAATTGACCGAGGGGATGTGACTATGCTTTGATGATTCAACTTAGACTTC